AATTAAATTTCTTTTATAATTTAACAATAAAAATTTTTTCTTCTTAAACAATATAAACGTGAAATATTCCAAATTTCCTTAAAGTTTAATTAATAATTTAATAATATTGTTATTTAATTTATGTTTATAATAATATTTGTTTAACTAAAATTAAATTTTGCACAAAATTTTATCATTTTTAACATATTTCACGTTTTGATAGTAATTTACTATACAATATTGGAATTTTCATTTTCTAACTGAAGATCAACTTATAGGTCTCAGGAAATTATAGATCATTGTTCATTTTTTTAACATTAGAGTGCTCTAAGCTAAAAAAAATAATCTTTTGCACCATTATAGCATCGCACTCTACGTACTCGAAAAAAAAATGCCGAATTTTACAGATCTCGTTATGTCAAAAAATAAATTAAAAGTTTTTGAAAGCTAAATAACATATACATACATATATATATATACATATATTAACCAAGATTCTATATAAGAAGAAAAATATTTAATTTTACAAAATTTTTGATTATAGATTTTTAACGTAACAATTCAACAGAGATGTCACGAAAAGATAGAAAAATTCATATCGTGTGCATTTAATCAGAGAGCACTCTGACAAGCTCTGAATTTGTTTGACACAACCTCTGCCAATAAATATACGAATTGGCTATACATATATATGTATGTAATAATTCATTTATATTATTTAAAGCAAAAATAAATATTTAACATATTTTTTTAATTTATTTACTTATATACTTACCGTTAATCAAGATATAAACAATAAAATATAGCAGTAGATTTTTAATTAAAAATTGTTATAAATATTTTATTAAACATATAGACATACATACATATAATATACATTATTTTATATTTAATCATATTATTTATTTATTTGTTTTCTTATACCGCAATCACGTATATTATATTGTTAATTATAGCATATAATTTATGTAAATTAAAAAAGAAAAAAATTAAGCAAATTAAATTTCATTAATTATAATTTAATTTTTTTTTATTTTTTTTTTAATAATATTGTTTTAATTTCTATATTATTATTTTTTGTTTTACCAACACACAAGTTACTAATTTGGTCTCTATTTTGGCTGTGTGCACATTTTAAATGTAATCTGTTTTAAATTAATTTTTTATATTATTATTGTAGTTTTTTGTTTTAACAAAAATAATATTTTGTAAGATTTTATACTAAAATAATAAAATAAATATATATTTTAATATGTTATACATACGAGGATGAGCATATTATGTATATATATACAATATTATAATAAATTATAATATTGTATATATATACATATATATATATATATATATAATATATATTAATTTTGCATAATTTCGATTATATTTTAAAAATTTAAAATTAATATCCCATAATTGATTCACAATATGAAAATCTTATTCAAATTCAAATCAATTTTTATATTATCCACTTTGATAAAATTATAAAAAGTCATAAATTTAATCAGCACATATGTAGTTGTGTATTTTATTTTACGTACATATGTATATGTATATATGATATAAATATGAAATATTATTTATTTAGTGGCAAATCGCTAAATTGAAAAAAAAATTCATTAATTATTTTTTATTCGATTGATTTCGATCGATTCAAATCAGTTCCAATCTTCTTAAATTTAGTTTACCAAATTAATAATTTTTTGTTTTAATTTTAAAAGACAAAAAAGAAAATTTATTTTTTTTTTAAATAAATTAAATTCAAATAATATAAAAAATGTTTGAATAACAAACAAAGGAAAATAAAATTTTAATATTACAAATTCGATTGTAAAGTCAAAATTTTTATTTAACTAAAAAAAAAAAAAAAGCACTTTTTCAATACACATATATAAAAAATGTTAGCATTTACAGTTAATTTCAAGTACAATATTAATTTAAATAATTGGAAATTTAAAAATTATAAAAGGATAAATATAGAAAAAAATCGTCTATACAATCCTAAAACCGGGAGATAACTAAACAGTTTATTAACCACAAAATTAGAAATAATATATTATACATTTACTGTCATACTTATACAAATATATACATTTATATATTGTGTATATATATATGTATAAAACTATATATTATTTTTATAATAAACTTTTACTTATTTTATATTGTTGCTCGTTATTATAATTTTTTATTGTTGGTGAATTAATATATAAAAGTACCTACCTTTTATTTAAAATAGAAGCAATTATAATAAAGTATATATACATATATATATATTTAATATATTTTATAATATATATTTATACATTGCATAAATATTATGTGCTTTATATACATATATATATATATGTATATATTTTTATGACAATAAATTAAATAAAACAAAATTATAGTTATATATCCTACCTATTAAAAGTATAATTTTTGGCCGCAATATCCACCACAAAACTGAATGTGGTGAATATTAAAGTTTCCCTTTATTTATTTATTTTTTCTTGTATATATAAAAATTTCCTGTTTGCGCAGGAAATCTTTTGTTTTCATGTTTTTTCTATAAATTTTTTTTTATTTATTTATTTACTTTAGTACTTTATAAATATATATATATATATAATATATATATATATATATATATATATATATATTATATATATATATATATATATATATATAAAGGTATATGAAAATATTATATTGAAATAAATTATAAAATTGCTATATATATAAATAAATAAATAAATTATAAAATTTCTTAAAAACAAATAAAGTAAAATATTGTCATATATAAGTATGTATATACATAATATATACCCACAATTATATTATACATTTTATTGTCCTATATTTCCTAATGCATATGCAATATATGTAAATGTGTACAAAAACTTATTGCTTATCATTCGAAATTTTAAAATTTTCTGATAAATTGAAAAGATATATATAAAAAATTTTTAAGGTAATTTTTGTAAATTGTATATTGTATATATGTAAGAAATAAGTAACTATATATTATATATATATGTATACATGCGTTTCAAAGGAATTTGCCATTATCCTAATTTATCTTATATACGCATGTATAAATTAATAAATTTAATATATGTATTTATTTTAACAATTTTTGAAAATTCTATGATGAGCTTCCAAAAAAAAAGATATTTTTCTATTAAAATCCTGATAAAATAAAATTGGTCAAAATGAGTTCCACAAAACCATAACTCGTGTGTAGAGTGTATAATATGTTCACCTTTTGTAATTTCTATTCATTTACATTGTACTTGTTCAAAGGTTTTGTATACTAAAAATCAAGAAGTACTCGTAAAAATGAAAAAAGAAAAACAAATAAGAAGAATAGGAAGAAAGTATTAATATAAAGGACAAATATAATAAAAAATTAAGCCTGTAATATTCTAAATTGGTGAAGTCTTCTTTTAGGAAAAGAGTATTGTATATTGATAAAGAATGACTTTTAATAATGTTTTTGGATTTTTCATTATCCAATTACCCAGTAGCACCCAGTTCTAAATTTCTATAGGAGTTTGAGTTTCTCGTTCTATGTGGACGTAACATTCTTCATTATTTTAATTTTGTGTTAGATATAAGTTATCTGTTATTGATTTTAGATATAATTACATTATATTTGCAATATTTTTAATTGTTATCGTGTACTGTTTGGATGTAGTAATTGGTATATAAGCTTACTGTTAGTGTTCTTATATCGAAGCGCTCAGTACATTAGCGGTCTACGAGTACTTGCAACAATGACAATTCGAGTAAATTGCGATTGAAATATTCAAATATTTAATTTTTAAGATAATTTTTAAGAGGCAAAAACAAACTTATGTAAAATAGAATAAATAGACAATTCTTTAGGCCATTATTCCTTTATTGAACATAATAACTCATTTTCGCAAAAATTTTGGATTGGCAATTAATGTGCTGTGCGTCTCATATTTCATAAAAATAATTTGTTTTTTTTTTTTTTTTAAATTAAATATAATTTAAAATCATAGTTAATACTCAAACCAAAAGAAATGAGAAACGTCAAAATATCTGAACCAAACTCTTTTGTTCAGATACATATTTTAAAGTTTCTCATTTCATTTTCTTTATAATTTATTACTATTACTGTAAAATTGACCGTCTACTTAAAGCGAAAGTCTATGTATTTGGATTTTTATTAATTTTAACAAGCTATTTTCTTTGTAAATTTTTATTATACAATTTTTCTCTGCAGTAAAATTAAAATAAAAATAATAATAAAAAAGAAGGTATACTAGGAACAGGTACATACATACGTTACATGGGTACCGTATTTATGTCTCATATTTGCCTTTGAAGAACGAATTACGCAGTAGTTCGCATGTTTAAAATTAATTTACATAAAAACTACCATTTATGCTTTATGATAAACTGCGGTTTTATTCCTTGTTCTTTTTACTTTTTTTATATACATACTAATATGTACAATTATACATACTAATATGTTTATATTAATAAAAAAAGGAAATAAGGAGTTAAGTACTCTTTTTCCTTGATGTGCACAAATGTACAAATGTAAATAAGAATAAGTAGTATAAAAAAATTTTTTTATTCTAATTAAGTTTTTATTTTTCAAGGTACAAAAATAATTGTAATACAATAATGTGTGTATATACAAACGTGTGTCACATACATACATACATTTTTTCAGTTATTAATGAAAAAAAATAAAATATTAAAACTGATACTTTTGGATACTAGATATTTTTATTTAAAAATTTAAATTTATGCAAGTGTCATATCAATTGCTATCGGAAACTTAACATTTATTTTTAAACGTCAAATGTTAAATGTGAATGTTCTCTGATGATTTTTAATTTATTTTCAGTTCTCTTTTAACATTATGTAACATAAATTTTCGAAATTTGTGAAAATGTAAACAGATTGTGTCACTATTGATAAAATAATTTTATATGCACTGAGCGGAAAATGAACAAATCAATTTTTAAGATGATAATACAAGTTCTAACAGGAATTTTGAAAAAATAAGAAATATCAAAATACTTAATAGAAATTTATTTTCATCTCAAAACTTAAAAGAATAGCCAACCTGAAGAAATTGCAGAAAAAACGATTGGTGTTCTATCTAGCGGAAAATGTAGTTAACACTGTGTCAAAATAAAATAAAGTAAGCTAAATTTCACTCATTGCATATAGTACGAATAACAAGTAAAAAAACAACTATTTAACTAGGTAAATAAGGTATACATACAATACTTACTCAATAAAATTAACAAACAAACATATGTATGTATATAGTTTGTCTTGAAAAAACTTAAATTAAACTTTGTATAGTTGATTTTTTTTTAATAGTTGTTATTCTTAAATACATTTTTGTTTAGATCAAAATGTCAGATGAGGAAGCTGGTTCTTCAAAAAAAGTAAAATTAACTGCTGTACAAAAATTACGTATAGAACAGAATCGTCTCAAGGCTCTACAAATAAGAAAAGCTAAATTAGCCGCCAAACAGTAAAAATACTTAAATATATTTCATGTACATACAAAATTTTATTAAAAAATTTCATTTTTAGGGAGGATAATGTTGTCAAGATTTCAGGTACTAGATTTGTTGATAGTGGTGGTGGATTTTTGGTTGAACAATCTATAATTAATGGTGAAAATGAGCCGATTTATTCAATTCCGAAACTGAAAGTTGATGATGATAAAATAAATTTACCAATTACATACTTTGATTGCATTGAATGTGACAAGAAATTTGCCGAATCTTATTTGCAAAAAAACTTTGATTATTTAGTTTGCGATAACTGTCGAGATCCAGATGAAGCTCATTCCTTGATAACAAGAACAGAAGCTAAAACAGAATATTTATTAAAAGATTGTGATTTAGATAAACGGGAGCCACTTTTAAAATTTATAAAAAGAAAAAACCCGCACAATGTTCGATGGGGCGAAATGAAATTATATTTACATTTGCAGGTAACCTTTTCAATAATTACAAAATAAAACGTAAGCTACATAAAAAAAATTGTCGTTAGATTGAACAAAGAGCTCTTGATGTCTGGGGAAGTGAAGAAGAATTATTGAAGCAGCGTGAAGAAAGGAGTGATAAACGAGAAATAGGAAAAATTAAAAGATTTAATAAAAGAATGAAACAACTTCGCATGGATGTTCGCAGTAGTTTATATGACAAAACAAAATCGGCAAGCCACACTCATGAATTTGGGCCAGAAACTTACAATGAAGAGGAAGATAATTACACGCATGCATGCTTAACTTGCGAGTATGTTGAAACATTCGAAAAAATGTAAATCATTTATTTACCAATACTAAAATAAATTTATACTCATAGAAGCTTATCATGAATCTGTATTAGAATTAAAAAAGCGTTTTTTATGAAAAAATAATAAAATAAATAGTTTATTCATCTACTTCAAAAATACTGAGACAATTTCCCTTTTGTCTAAATTCTAAGTGTGCTTTTAGAATTGCTATAAACTGTGGTCGTTTAAGAGTTGAATAAGCAGGCACTAAGAGAGACACGATTATTTCATGAAGTTCTTTATGACCGCTACAAAACAAATCAATTCCAAGTTCTAATGCAGTTCCAAAATCGCTTTCATCAACAGCTATAAAGAAAATTTAAGATATATAAAATCAAGTTATACCAACGGTAAAATAACAGTCAACATTTTTCAAAGACGTGATATAAAATTTGATATGCAACACAAGTGCAATATAAAAAACGTTTCAATATGTCTTTGATACATGTCACGATGTTACCGAAAAATTTCTAACCCACCTATATTAGCTGCCTGAAATTAAAACATTTTTATTACACATAATTTTCTATTAATACCTATATACAAAATACCGTAATAATTGGTTGCAACGATTCCATAACAGAGGTTAAAGTTTCCTTATTCCCTTGGACATCAGCAAGTTTATTTAGTATTTTCTTAATGTTACTATCAGTTTCCATTAAAGGTCTGTACCCCAACTGAGTTTTACGGTCATAAGGTACCACTACACCAGCCTTGTGAAAAGTTTTTGTGACAACCTTTTTGTCTCGCTCGCGCCTCATATCTTCAAAATTCTCTAAATTAATGTTATTTTCTCCAGAAAATTTTTTAATAGACTCTTTAATTTTTTTAACTTCTGTCATGTTAAATGGCGTACAGGTAAAATCATGATCCATAAAATATCTGCAAATTAAATTAGGTTATACACAGATTTTTTTTTAATTTTTAATTGTACATTAACGCTTGGAAACAATTGATCGCAATGAAATCTATAGCACAACCTTTGTTTACATCGTTTCTTGCAATCAATAAATTTTCTTTTTCAGATGGATCGTCTCGCCAATAACCATAATGCACCCCACTTTTCTTTTTAATGAATATTGTTTGAAATTCTGGTGGATCATAGAAAAACCTCCAATGTCGTAAATAACTTCCAGGTTCCTTTATGTCTGCGTTGTTAAAACTCCCAGATAAGTATTCAAAAGGACCAACTAATTGTAGTCCCAAATTTTTAAATACTTCCTCTGGTTTTTGGTCGGCTTTTGTCAATGAAGAGCAAAACGCCCAAAATGTGTAAAACTCATCAGGCATTTCTACAAGAAATTTATGACGAATAAAATCAGTCGTTTTCAATAATTCTACGTATTCATCCTTTTTCGAATTATGAACACTGTTGTGAAATATCTTAAAGTAGTGCTTATCTTCAACATTAACGGATTGATTATGATTTACTGTTTCAGGCGTAGATTTATTGTTTTCGTCAAGTAAATTCTCATTCAACTTCTGACGAAATTCAAGTGACGCATCATTTCTTGAATTTGATACAGGAGATCTGCTTCTTTCACGAGTTGAATGCTTCTCTGGGGATTTTGAACTACTCCTACCCCTGGGGGACCTTTTGTGAGAGCTCGGAGATGGACTTTTTCGATTTCTATTTCCAGGCACGTCCAATTGGGTGCTGCGTCCTTCTTGTGATTTAGGCGGATGATTATATTTACTTATGTGCGCTTCGTTTTTTTGGTAACATTTGTCCCAGTACTTACAATTTTCCTTTTTGTTCATATTTGATTCTTAGTTTATATATTTTTCTATTAAACTTATGAAACTTAAATAAAATTTCGGGAAATATAAAGAGTAAATTTCTTCTGCAAATAAAATGACACAAACTAATTTTAAACTGCTATATTTTATACACCAAGCAATTGGAAATTGATATACATACATATGTATAAAACGCTACTTAACGTCAAAATATGACAATAAAATTTAGTGGAGTTTACACGAGCAAACTGCAAAGGATATGTCAATCGTTCTTGTTTTTTCTTGAATTTGAGATTTTTTTTAATTCAGTTTTATTACGAAAACATGTCAATTTTCTTTTTTTCTCTTTTAACAAATACATTTTTTACTTAAACTTCATATACATATTGCACTTATAAATTTTAGTTGTTGGTTAAATAAAAATTACATTTAATTAAAAATACGTAAAATAACATTGTGCTCCGACCGTTACATTTTCCCTCCCACGACGTTCTGCTCCATATATCACCAACGAATAATTAACAAACAGATCCACAATAATTATCAGATGTGGAAAACAGTGTCGCAAATTTCATATAAATTCAATAAAAAAAGAAACAGAAACTTTCATAACTAATAGTGCCCCATAGTAAGTTTTCTTAGTATTCTTTACGTCTGGTGTTTTTTAATATTAGATACCCTTAAGCTCCATCAAAAACTGAATTTTTGGAATTTGAAATGTTTGACATTTTAGAAAAAACTTATATGCAATATAGACATTAGTTTGTTATGGAGATATTGTTTTTACAATACAAAATAACAGGTAACTAATTTTACAACTGGATTTTGCGATAATTTCTACTTTTAGCTTATTTTATGTTTTCAGTTTTCGCTTGCTAAAATGAGATTAAATTAAATTAAACTTTCAGGCTAAAAATTAAAAATTGAATATTATGTATTACTAGAAACTGCATACATATTTGTGTGTGTATACATGCATATTAAATAAATTGCCACCAATATTACAAAAACAATTTACAAGCTTAAAATGATTTCAGTAATTTATTCAGGAAGTCCTTCGTGTTTAGCCCAATCGAGCCAGGAACCTGCATATAATTTTGAGCTAAAAAAAAAGAAAATTTAAATTAATCAAACTTTAATTAGAAAAAACCTACTTCTTATATCCTAAAGCTTCGGCATTCTGATAGGCTTTTAAGGCACGTTTCCCTGATTTACATGAAAATATAATTATTGATTCATAATGAGGCTTAGATCTACTAAAAGTTCGTTTAAAATCTTCTTCTGATGTTTGACTTCCAAGAGTTACGCTAACGTTTTTAACTGAAATTAAAAAATTTACCAATTTTGAGAATATTGAATTAAGAAAGTGGAACCTAGTTGTAATTTATATTAGGAGAAAAAATATAAAATATTATATATATAATAATATTATAATATATAACATAAAATAATATATAGCCTTAATTTCGTTTAAAAATTTGATTTTGAGGTAGGTAAATAAATAAAATTTTTATATGAATATGAACTTGTTACAAACCTTAAAAGAAATTGCTATAAAAATTGTAAACAGTTAATTTTTTTAATTTCTTTCGTGTTCTACCCATTCTGACCAGGAACCCAAATAATTTTTAACACTGCAGTTAAGCAAAATTTGCTATATAATTTCCAAGAAAATTTAATTGAAATAAAAATACTACACCACCTTCAAAATTGAAAAATGGTGAAGTATTTTTGATAGTTTACACACTTTTTATATCCTAATTTTAAAGCGATTTCACTGGCTTTATGGCTTCTTTTTCCGATCATACAATAGAATATAATATTTTTTTCTTTTGATGGTTTCTCGATCCCATACAAGTCTTTAAAAGTTTTTACATCAAGAACTGAAAGAGCATCTTGTACTTCAGCAACTGTAGAATATAACGTAATACAACATGCATATTATATATAGGTCCTATACATATACAATATTCTAAATTTTAAATATGAGGACATCAAAAGTTTAGTTTTGTATTTATGTTACGATATTCATTAAATAAAATCAGATTGTACATATATAAATCCAAGCCCAATTCTACAATATAATCTTAAAATTTAAATTTTGATATCACAAAAATCAAATTAAATTTTGACTTTTTTTGAAAAAAATTTTTATGGAAAATTAAAACGGTAGATAAAGTGGGTATCTAAGGCATGCATTCTACTTAAGTATTGAAAAATGAAATACGTGAAACCGTTAAGTTATGCATTTAAATTTTGGAAGGTTTTTAAACAATAAAACAATACTGCTTCAAAGAGTTTTAAAAAACTCACGAGGTATGTTAATACTCGTAGGAATTTTCCCTGTTTCCTTCAATTCTTCTGGCTCTCGAACGTCAATCAAAAGTTTCTCAGGATGATCAGGTAAACTTTTTATTTCATCATAATAAGCTATAACAATTTCGGGTGGATTTGGTTCTGAACAATAACTTTTTACTTGAGGTCCTAGAAAAAATATACTGTCAGGTTTTTTAAAAATTTGCTGTAAAATTATATTTACCTGTTACTGGTAAGAATATTTGAAACTGTGAACAAACTTTATATTTAGGGATAATTGACGTGGTTGCAATGCTAGCCAAAGCTTTTCTTGGAAATTTCAATCTTCTTAAAGCTAAACTTAAAAAACTCATTTTTTATGACACCTTTTTATGCTATTAAGTTTTAAAACAAAAGTATATTTTTAAAAGTTAAAAATATATTACACAAATTATATTTTTTTTAACACAAAATTAGGATCTTTTTTTATTTTTATTTACAAAAAACAATTTTTGCTATTTTGCTATCAGCTGATTATCAACATGTCACCGCAGTGGTGCCACAGCAGTAATGAAAATGGGGAGTTGGTATCAGTTAGTAAAAAATAGTATGATTTATATTCAAACATTAATTGTTCGATCGACTTTGACATTAGTTTTAAACATTTAAGAAATTATTTTATTTGCAAACAGTTTTGTTTTAATTACTGTTATAATAAATAATGTATTATTTCATATTTTATCTTAGTTTCGTGCAAATAAATATAAATACATAAATAAATACATGGTACCTTTAACAAAAACATGAAACTACGCCGAATCACAAATAAACAATACAGAAGTTCAAATATTCAAATGATATGAAAAAAAAAATTGTATGAAATTTTGATTGCAGAGGAAGTTATAGCAGACTATATATTTTTTTGTTATGTAATTTACTGTGTGTAAAAAAAGGAAAGAAACAAAAGTTTTTTAACAAAACAATCCCAAAAAAACAACTTGTTTACTCCACTTTGCATATCTTGTGAAAATAATTCAGTAAACAAATGAAACGTTTTCGACTATTGTGAATAGCAAAAATGTTCTACAACAAAATCCCTTGTAAATGTTAGTCAAGTTATCATCTGTCACTTCATATTTAATAAATTTTTAACATAGCATTAAACTTGGACTGGCGTAAAAAATTTTTTAAATAAAAATTTCGATATAAGTAAAAAATATAATAATGAGTTATAAAGGTATTGGAGGAGGAGGTTATCCGTATAAAAAATCCGATACTTCAAGCGGTAAAGGATATTCTGCAGTTCCACCTCCAAGCAGTTTATCACAAACTCGAAAAGGACCACAAAAATTTTTCGCACAAACAACTGGAAATCAAGTTCAAACGCCCAATTCCTTCAATAGTGGTTTATCTAAGCATGGATATTCTACTATGGATGCTATTTATCAATTTGCAAGCTCTTCGTCTTACGCAGTTGGAAGTAAAAGAAAAACAAATACTGAAGATGATTATTTTGATGATGATGATGAAACACCACAATCATCTGAACTTGCATATATACCGGCTCCAGGGAGTCCAGCGGCTAACGAAAAAGTAAATATTTTTATTTTTACATATTTATAGTGATATAGAACTAGCCTGCGAGAAATCTTAATTTTTTTCGATTAACTGCTAACCAGAATAAAAATAATGAAGAAACTGATGAAGAAGACGATCCTTTGGATGCTTTTATGGCAAATATCGAAAAACAAGTTGAAAAAGATACCAAAGGACCCAGCAATGACACAAACAAAGATAAGAATATCAAAAAAGGTACAAGAGCCGATATAGACGATGAAGATGATGAAGAAAGTTATTACCGGTTCGTATTTCAAGTATCTTATACCATTTGTTATTAGATTGTATACTAATATAAATACATATATAAATTGTGTACTAAGTAATACATAAATGTAAACTGGCTAAATGGAATATGATTTTAGGTATATGGAAGAAAATCCGAATGCAGGCGTAACCGAAGAAGGATCCGATCCAGAAATTGATTACGACGAAGATGGAAATCCTATAGTCCCACCAAGAAAAAGGGAAATAGATCCTTTACCGGCTGTAGATCATTCTCAAATAACATATGAACCATTTGAAAAAAATTTTTATGAACCACATGAAGATATTAAAGCACTTTCACGAAATAAAGCAGAAGAATTGAGGAAAACTTTGGGTATTAGAGTTACAGGGCCTGTGCCTCCACATCCCGTATGCAGTTTTGGACATTTTGGATTTGACGAAAGCCTCATGAAGCAAATACGAAAATCTGAGTATACACAACCTACACCTATCCAGGCTCAAGCGATACCCGCAGCTCTTAGTGGTAGGGATTTAATAGGAATAGCAAAAACTGGTAGTGGTAAAACAGCCGCATTTATTTGGCCAATGTTGGTGCATATCATGGATCAAAAAGAATTGCAAGAAGGTGATGGTCCAATTGCTTTAATTTTAGCGCCGACAAGAGAATTGTCTTTGCAAATTTATAATGAGGCCAAAAAGTTCGGTAAAGCTTACAATATAAATGTTGTATGTTGCTATGGTGGTGGTTCTAAATGGGAACAAAGCAAAGCATTAGAAGAAGGAGCCGAAATTGTTGTAGCAACTCCAGGTCGTATGATAGATATGGTTAAAATGAAGGCAACAAATTTAACAAGAGTAACGTATTTGGTATTGGATGAAGCAGACCGCATGTTTAATATGGGTTTTGGTAAATAGGCAGAAAGTTAATTGATTTGGTTTTCATTATTTATTAAACTATTTTTTTAGAACCTCAAGTAAGATCAATTTGCAACCATGTTCGACCAGATCGTCAGACACTCTTGTTTTCGGCTACTTTCAAAAAGAGAATAGAAAAACTAGCTCGTGATGTGTTAACTGATCCTGTAAGAATAATCCAAGGAGACATAGGGGAGGCAAATGAAGATGTAACTCAACATGTAATTGTATTAAATAAACCTGAACATAAATGGAACTGGTTACTTTTAAAGTTGGTAGAATTTTTATCACAAGGCAGTATATTGATTTTTGTTACCAAGAAGTTGGATGCGGAACAGTTGGCTAATAATTTGGTTTTAAAAGAAATTGAATGCGTTCTGCTACATGGTGACATGGATCAAGCAGACCGTAACAAAGTCATAATGAAGTTCAAAAAAAAAGAATGTGATATAATGGTTGCAACCGATGTTGCTGCACGAGGTTTAGATATTCCTCACATACGTACTGTTGTTAACTATGACATTGCAAGAGATATTGATACACATACACATCGAATCGGTAGAACTGGACGAGCTGGAGAAAAGGGGACTGCGTATACCTTAGTTGTAGAAAAAGATAAAGAATTTGCGGGACATTTAGTTCGAAACTTAGAGGGGGCAAATCAGGAAGTACCTGAAGAGTTAATGGAATTAGCCATGAAAAGCGCATGGTTTCGAAGTTCGAGGTTTAAAAGCGGAAAGGGAAAAAATATAAATATTGGAGGTGCTGGTTTGGGATATAAAGAAAGACCCGAGTTTGGAAACAAGTCAAATTTCAAAAATTCAAGTAGTAACAATAGTGGAAGCACAACAGGAAATTCAAATTCAAATACAATTCATACAACAGCTGGTCCAGCTTCTAACAGATATGCGGCTATGAAAGAAGCGTTTAAAAGTCAATATATGTCACAAGTATTAAACTATTTATAAATAATATATTTTGTTGAATATAAATAATTATTAAAATTTGTAACATTATAATTCATACATTCCAGTTCCGAGCTTCGTCTGACAGAACTTGGGAAAAAACTGTGCCGGAAACAGGAGTATTTGCTGCTCCAGCACCACCACCACCAGCTTTGAAACCAGCAACGGCAGATAGCAAAAGTAACAAACACACTGAGGACCAACCGAAAAAAAGAGCAAAAAAAAGTCGATGGGATTAAATTTGTTAATGTTCACATTTTTTTATTTAAGATTATTAATTATACATCCATAAAATTAAGCTTCAAAATAAATAATTTTAAAATTCAGTGTCAAGGTAATACTTTATCATTATACATACTTATGTACAACAACATATATAATCCACCAAATATGTAGCTCTTAAATTTAAAAATTTGTAACCTAAAACCTTGGTTTAGAACAAGGAATCTGTGGGACCACCAAAATTCAAGAAAAAACATTTCTGTTATGCAAGTACATATGCATTTACAACATGACTTCTTACGGGAAATGCCTTGAATACTTCACTGAATGCAAAACAATATGCCAACCAACCAAGTTTAATACATATTTTATAAATTCAATTATGTTTTTCCAAAACTAACTTTAATGTTTTCTATATTAATTAAATTCAAGGCTAGATTCAATTACCATGGTTTGTTTTGCTCTTTAATACATACTGGTAACAATACTTTCGAGTAAGAAGCATTATACATATATCGTAAATGTCATACTTTAATATTTATAACCTAAAACTGTCAAAATATCAAAATACAATCCATATTAGAATCGAGAAGCATTTGAATATTTTATAATAATTGGATTTTAAAAAATTTAGTAAAATGCAAAGCTTAAAGTTTTTTTCGAAAATTTCGGTAAAACACATAAGATGTTTTTCATGCACCAAAAAATTATTGAGTGAAGCAGCTCCTGCAGCGGTTCCTGCTGCAACAAAATTGTCAATCCCAGTGCCGGAAGGAACAGAAAAACCCATTGATCCAAAGTTAGCAGCTATTGCTGATAATATAGCCAAATTAAATTTACTAGAAGTTGCAGAGTTAAGTTCAATTTTAAAAAAAAAACTTAATTTGCCTGAAACGTCGTTTATGCCTTCTTTTGCTGCTGCTCCAGTAGCAGCTGCTGCAAAGGAGGAAGATGAGGAAGAAGCTGCTCCAAAGAAAGTTCAAACTTCTTTCAAAGTGAAACTAGTTAAATTTGATGAAAAACAAAAGGTGGCGTTAATCAAGGAAATCAAAAATCTTTTGGAAGGAATGAACTTAGTTCAAGCAAAGAAATTTGTTGAAAGTGCACCAACCCTAGTCAAAGAAGATATTCCTAAAGAGGAAGCTGAAAAATTAAAAGAAGCTCTCACGAAAGTTGGCGCTTCTATAGAAATTGAGTAAAATACAAAAGTTAATTATTTATAGATTTTTTTAAGTAAATATTAAAATTTTAACATACATTTAAAAAACCTGTTTAACCAATCTCTTTTCAGGTGTATGTCTAAACTTATTGTCCTAACCTCATTTTGTTGAAAAATTTTGTACCCCTTTGAGTGTAAACTCAAAGCAGTTAACCAAATTTCCAATGCATTGTTGTCATATCTTTGCATAATTAGGAAATTAAATTTACTTTTGCTCCTTCCACTAAATTATTCACAGTTTCTGTTATATATATGGTATAACCAGTACTTAATAAGTTAACTTAAAAACAAAATATTTTAATAACAGGATCTACATAAAGTTGATTTCTTATAAAACCTTCAGTGCATATGTACTCACTTAATATTACAACTTACAAGGATTTACAGCTTTATTTATCCCAGCATATTATTTTTAAAATGCATGGTTAATACCAATATAACTTAAAAATTTATTTCTATATTTAATCAATAAATTAACATTTTAAAGTTATTCGAATAAATTAAACATTAAAAAATCTTAAAAATATATTACTTTAAGATATTTAAAACAATTTCAATAGCACTATATAAATCATTTTCTGTATCATTTTTATCAATTTCACGTTGGATATTTTTCAACTTCATTGGTATACCCCAACTTTTAACAACATGTCTCGCTTTAAAATTCTTTGATATTAATTTCCACAATGCTATTACTATAATAAATTTTTCATGTTCGTTCCCACTTTCCAAAACATCTCTAGTTACATATTGAAAGTCCTCTGAAAGGTTTAATTTTTAGAATTCAAATAAAATTTTTAAATATTTTTTGAATAAAACTTACGAGATGATAAAAGACCGGGTCCGTTTGCTTGCAAGAATGCCATATTTCGTAAAATTATTAAGCACAGTAATCGGATCTTATTTTTTGTTTTAGTTATAAATGAACACAAAATATACAAGTGCTTGATTACGGCTCCTTCTTGATATATAGAAAAAGTACTCCAAAATTCTAACCAATATATTGTCACAACATTCCAAGACTTTTGAATTTTAACATCCATCGGATGAAAATTACTTATCACATCCAAAAGATTCATCTATAAAATGTTAAAAAAATTAACATAATGATTGTATGGTAATTTAGATAAATTAATAAATTACTTTCACTAAAAGCAATCTTCCTTCAATACATGTACAACAGTTTGTTAAAATTCCTAATCCTAGTTCTAATATACCAAAATCTATATTGGGATGTCTAATTTTATTGGTTTCAGCTATTACCATTTTACAAGTGAGTTGCATAATCGAATTGGAAAAACTTGTTATTGATGCCGCAAATTGCTTGCAAACTAAAATTAAAATGTAATTGCAGTTATAGTTTTCATATTACTTATATTATCAAAATTTACCTTCAAGTGAATCTTTACTTAAAACTACTAACGTTTTAAGAAACACTTCCCGTAGCGATTCAGAATGATTTATCCACTGCCATGTATGCAATGCAGTTTTTGATAATTTTTCGATTTCTGTTTGATTTTTTAAACAGTCTGAAGAGAACCAGTACAAAATTATACTAAATAAAATTGTTAAATGACGTAAGATGGCAATTTTCTGAAATTATAATAATATAATGCATCAAATCTTCAACAAATGTCTTCTACCGTTTTAATCAAGAGAAAGTATAATTAATTTAAATTTCATATATTTTACCTTTGAATCTCCATGATTTCTTATATATTCAGTAGATGTAACTGTAATATCTTCGTAAATTAAATCAATTTGGTGAAGAATCGTACTTAAAAACTCTTCATTATGGGCAAATTTTCTTACTTCGGGAGAAGTCCTTAATAACGCTGCTAATGCCTCACATACTAAAGTCTTTTTAAAAAGTTTACCTGCAAAATTGGAATTTATTTATGAAAAATATTGAATTTATAAAAACTGCTTGCTTATTGAATAACCTTCTGTTTTTTTCTGGAATAATTTATTAAAAAGTAAAGAAGCACTGTAAAATATCTGTTCACTTCCATAAAAAATTTGATTAGATGTTTTTAATTCAGTGGAATCAAAAATTATTGGAATCGTTTTAAATCTATTTGTTGAAAAACTATAACTTTTTGCTAACAATGTTATTAAGAGTGTTAAAGATGCATTTTCAAAATCTGCAATAAAGAAAAATATAAAAATTCAATAACAATTTCAAAAAAAAAATTCAAATACTTTCCTGAATTTTTGCTTTTAATTAAACCGAAATCAATAATTTCTATTATATTTAAGGCTCCATTACTTGAAAGTATTTCACAAAATATTTCAAAGAATATCGAATCGTTAATTAAAAATCTTAATGTTTGGATGGGATTTATTAACAGGCTTGGATTTTTCTTTTCTAAAGTCATAAAAATATAAAATTTAAAGTTGGCATTATTTTGTAAAAAATTTTACCAAAATATTTTAAATTTAGTAACTGATTCAGAGCTACTATAAAACCATAATCACTGCACATATTTTTTTTAATTGAAGTAATATTTTCATAAGATAGAAATTTGTTTATTATAAAACAAATTTCGCTGAACATCCATAGCGATTCATCAGTAATACAAGATGGTATAAGTTTTATTAAACTGAAAATTAAAGTAAGATATTTTTGTTATATGAAAATATTTTAAAATTTTTACTTAAAAATTCTGATTATGAAGGGTTCATTATCAAAAATTTCCACTTCACTTTCTGGGCATAAATCTATGAAATTACTTAAAATTCTGCAATAAGCATTAATAATACTACAAGTTGTTATATTTTGAATCTGTAAAAAAAAATCCAAAAATTTTTCTCAAAATTTTTTAATCGGTTTAATTATTATTAATTATTTAATGAAAGTGAATATCACCTTGAAACTGTTTATTGTTCTTGCAATATGAATATGTTCAATAGATTCTTGAATAGCTGAATAAAAGCTATATTTAGAAAATAACTTTGTAATCAAACGTAGTCCATTATTTTGCTGAGATGGTTCTAATTCAATACACAGTGGAGCAACGGATAAATGTAAACATGTTCCATTTGTATCATTACTTTTATGACTTAAAAGGTTTGAAAACAGCATTCCAGCTGCAAATCGAACTAAAGGGATTTCATTGTTATCAAGAAGAGTACTTAAGCAACAAGCATGAAAACCACCAGGCAAATATGATAATTCTAAAAAGATTATTATAATTATTGCCCCTTTAATTTATTTTATTATTATTAAATACTTTACCTTTTACTATTAAGTGCGATCCTTTTAAACTAATAGAAATTTTTGTTAAAATTCCCCATGACAAAGCTCTTATTTCAAAATCCTCATGACTACACAAACCCGACAACAGTTTTACATGGTTTTCATCTAGCATTATCTTTAAAAAAACAAAAAAAAAAGTAATAATGTGTATCCAACAAAAAATTTATAGCATACCTCATCGCAACAATTCATCAAATTTCCTACGATAAGCAAACAGTTTTTATTTAAGTGGGACCCGCATTGAGTAAATAATTTTAAAGCCATCACAAAATATAACATCTTTTTAATAACGATTGTCGCAAAACCATAATCTATATCGATATTTTCCGTTTTTGTAATTATTTGCAATAAATTTAACAAACTTCGAACTTGGTCTAAATATCTTTTATGAAAACATTCTTCAGCTATTGGTATTACAATTTCAAAAAGTTTATTATAAATATTAGAATAGTATTTTTTTGAACTTGTTTCAGTGGTATATAAAGCATATTCCTGTATTTTATTGTTATTAGCTTTAGTAGAACAAAAATTTATTATAGTTTCTATAAGTTCACATACGCTGTCATACAACGTTCTTGGAACATTATAGTCCTTCAAAACTTGTAAAATAACACAATTCTGTTCACTAAATTCTTTTAATATCCATAATATAATGCTTTCATTTTCTAATTTAATTAAGTAATGGAACAGATCAACAATATTTTGAAAAATTTTATGATCTCCAGTACTGCTTGGTTTAACAATCAAAAATCTTTGAAATGTTTTTATCACCTCATTACCGTCCAAAATGCTATAAGATCCCAAAAACAAACAAAATCGAAATTCAGCCAATTTTTTCAAAAAATCATTTTCTGTTGTTTCATTGGAAATCTTCTTCAAAAATTTTCTTACATTATCTTGAGGTGAGGTTATTTTAATTAAACGTATATCTTCACTATTAATTTTCAAATTTGAATTAAAATCTAAAATATCCTGAAACTCTATTATGCCATTCGAAGTTTCATTAAAGTTTTCAGGAAAATCCGTATAATCCAACGTAGTATTGTCATTATTCAATTTATTTAAAATAATATTTTTGTGCATTTCCTCAAAATTTGTAAACCATATAGTAGAAAAACTGTATCTTATAAACTGCAAGATAGCTTCATTTTCATTTGGTTGTTTTTCTCTAACTACACTATATATTGGCTCTGTTCTTCGACTCAGTGGAATACTTGAAAAACGTTCGCTTTCAGAGTAGGGTTTTTTTGTTTTTGAAAAAGTGTTGCTTGAAAAATTGCTGTTGTTTTTCGTGTTGTTTTCAGATATTTCCAAAAAAATTTGCTCAAAATAACTTACTTTTTTATATATGCTTTCTTCCCAATGAAAATCGCTTTTCAAAGGTAAATTTATCTTTTTCAAAATTATTGGTACCGAAATTTTCTTTTCTCCACCCACAATATGATGGTTATATAACAACAAAAACAAAGTTATTACTGCATCTTGTTGCAGTGTTATATCATTATAAAACAGGAACAAAGATCTTAATAATAATAAATAAATATTGCTTTCACCCGAAAGCTCATTGCGAAGAAAAGCATTACAAAGAAGAATTTTTGACAGCATACCGACAGCAGGTATTAAGGAGTCGGTATAATCCACAGTTGGATTTTTCTTTAAAGAATTTTCTAGAGCTTGTATGCTGTAATACCAACCGTTATCCTTAAAAATAATTTTATTCATGTCGATATCTTGACATAAAACATTAAGTTGCATCAAACATGTTTTACGAACATTTGGCTCAACATCACTACTTTTAAGAAGTTCTAATAATGCTGGTATTGTAGTGAAATCATATAAGCCCCCATAAAAAATTTTTTCAGGGTCTCTTGGTACTTGAATATAACATATATTATCCGGAATAATATCAGATATTTCGGAAATATTTGGCAAAAAATCATATTGCATCGGATCTTTCGCTAGAATATATACTAAACGTGAAACTGCTTCGGACCGAATCTTATAATTAGTTGAAAAAAGAAAACGTAAGTTTCCTTTTAGTAGTTCATGTGTATCCAAACCATTGTCTGGGTTAAAAAGCTCTAAAATCAGTTTTCCTAAAAAAAAAATTCAATACATTTTGTTTTTCTTTCTGTTTCTTTTCTGTTATTACCAAAATTTTCATCACAGTTTGCTAAAGTTTGCAGTAGTGGAAAGTTTGGAATTAAAATTTGTAATATATTATTCCAACTTGAACCCAAAATATCTTTTCCTTTCAATATTAAGGATAATATAATTTCTGCATTTTTGCTTATTCTGGTTTCTTGATGAAAATATCCGAAACATATAATTTCCGATATAATTTCAGATGTAAGAGGAATTCCCAATGATTTGGGACAACTCAGATTAGAACTGAAATTTCGGATATTGACGTTACCATTCATTAAACAACCAAAGGATTTCTTCATGTTATTTGAAATTTCTTGGTATGTAACCCTAAATGTTTTCCAGTCAAATTTTATTTAAACAAAAATAAAAAGTTCATTACCTTTGAACATTGACGTTTTCATGAGCTAGTAAACGTAACACAATTTCTTCGGAGATTGACTTTAAATCTGGCTTACCATCAAACAAATAAATTGAACTTGATATAGATTTAATTATCTTCCGCACAAAACCTAAACTTACGTGGATTGATAAAGTGTCTAAAGCTTTAAGAGCTATCTGAATAAACTCTACATCAGTTTTTTCTTCTGGTCTTTTCAAAATATCAATAGCTTCGGTAAAATTCATATGACAATTTAATATAGCATTTAATTGAGGTTTAAGCATAATGTGGTTCTCTACAGCTTCCTCCACTTGGTTATAGATCAGAGGATAAAATTGCCGCAAAGGAAAGTCTAAAATTGCGTTCTCTAACTCTATATGCCATATATCTATGGATTTTTTGTATATATTTTCATTTTGATGATTTACTTGCTTAACTAATTTTGCAATTATTGAAATTATATAAATGTATTGTATTCGATAAGTTCTATACATTTTTTCTTGTCTATAAAATCTGGCCAAAATTCCTAAGTCTATTAAAATTGATTTTATTGAAGCTAAAGATGCATTCTTTTTATACTCAACAAGTTCCATTATTTCAAATATAATCATTATAAGTTGGTACACATCAAATATTTCATTCTAAATTATATTTCATTACTGAATTTGCGGTCATAAACTGGTTAAATCTTACCTGATCAATAGCATCATCAAATGCTTTTAAATGTTCTACACTTAATTTTAATATTTCAACACAAAATTGCGGTAAAGAGATCTGTATTTTACAACTAGTAGATGTATTCTAAAATAAAATTTAAGAATATTAAAATATATGTAGGCGGACAATGAAATATATTACTTCTTTCCAAGTAGGATCGTAGCATTCTGAAAGAACCCGTTTTCTAATTCTACATTTAATAGCCTCACTTAAATAATTGAAATTTAATATTAACAATTTAGCAAATTTCTTTTCTTGAAAATATAGCTTGATCATATTTTTGACAATATATGGAGGTTGCAAAAAATATTCAACAGGATAATCATTTACAGCTGTTTTAAAATATTCTAATCCATTCTTTACTTCTTCATATGTACTGATAGTTGATAAAGAATTGAATATCATATTCATTTGATTTAAGTCTGGTCTGCTAGGTGTCGACCAAGCTTGTTCATATTCACTCAAAATACTAAAATATTTTTGTTTAAAAAAAATTTTTTTTTGTAATTTATTAATTTACTCATTGTTTTCTGATCCTAATTCTTGAATGGAAATATTATCTGAACTACAACCTGTAACCGGAAGACTTAAACTGCTGGTGTCGTTTTCAGTGTATTTTTCAAATTCTTCATAATTTTCTAATAACTCTTTTATATTTTGTACAATTTCTTTATAAAAAGCTGATGATTTAACAATTTCATAGATTTTATTGACTTCTTTTTCCAGCGTACTCTTTTTTAAGAATTTCACAGTTTCATGAATGAATTCACTTTTTAAAATTGTTAAAATTAAATTTAAGACGGTTTCTACTTCCAATAAAGGCTTTTTGTTAAACCAATTAATCAGCTTGCTCATAAGTTTACCAGAATTCATATCAATAGTAGCATCTTGCTGGAATGCTCGTAATATTTTGCCTTCTATGTGTTTTAATGTTCTTACCCTGATTTCATCCAATTCATGGTCTAAAAATAAATTGCAACTTATATTTTAAAACAAATCTCAGAATCGATTTACAGACCTAAATTTTTAATGGCTGAGGCTGATATGTTATACGACATTTTAAAAATGCATAGATTTAACTTAAAATATATAAAATAAAATAATTACAAAAAATTTATTTTTGATTTTAAAGTGTTCAACGATAATTATAAATACAAACGGCGGCAGTTTTGTTTTGACATATTCCTCACAAGAATGACAGCTGGAATATCGTAAATTATATATCATCTCCGTGATGTTATGTTTCAAAAAAAAAAAAAATATTTTTTTTTCACTCATTTTTTTTTGTATTACCGAGTGTTATTAGAGTTTTAGTCTCAAAAATTAAAAAAAAATGATAAAATATTTCAATACACATTTCTTTTAAAACTTTATCAAAAAAAATCACATTTTTCAGTTTTATGAAATAATTTGAAATGCGGTCGTAGTTTTCGAGCAATTTGAGACATATTTACATACATACATAATGTACGTACACAGATCTTTCCATTTTATGATAAGGATGTGAACTATTGGGTTTATAAATTCATTAATATTCAAAATTCAAATAAACCATGACTACTTTTGCAAGAAATATGGACTTAAATTATCAACCGCTCAAAGACCATGTGTAATTTTGGAAAAAAATGTTTCTTGTTCATGTAGACAACTTAATTTTTTCTCATTGAAATATTTATTTCTTAACATTATAATTATCATAATCTCTACGTATTTAATTTTAATGAAATACATAAATCTGAAATAAAAAAATCAAACAAGTTTTTAAAAACTTTTTCTTAAGGGAGTTTTTTTTATTACAGTAGGAAAAATTATTTATCTTAAAATTACTTTTGTTCATAAAATAAAATTTGTCTTGAACTTTAAAAGTTTTTTAAATTTAAATGTATTTAAAAAAAATTTTTTTTTGATGTACAATAATACTGACTTTAATAAATTTTTAGTGAATTTAGATTTCTAACGTATAAAATTATTAAATAATATTGTTATGTTTCAAATTATATTCCAACAACAACGTGTTTATATTCAAATTAAACTATTTTGTTTAAGACTACAGTACAATTCAAAATTATTAATATAAATATCGATCTTGCGCACCAATTATTTTAAAAGTAATTACAAAAGTTGAAAATACACCACGATTTTTTACTTAATAAAAATAACTTCTAAATTTCCGTTTTCTTTTTCAACAATCGCCTTGGTATATTTTATATGTTCTCATTTTAGTCATTAAAACAAAATAAAGTCTAATAGAAATTTTCAATCATTTTCCCTATTAAGAGCGGCTGTGATTGCTAAGGCACCACCCGGTATAAATCTAACAAAATTATCACCAACTAATGGACCTAACGCATATAAACCTTTTGGTACACGTTCAATTTCATTTGTAAATTTATCAACAGCAATTTGATTAGTCTTTGAGTCAATTGGTTTATTTGGATCTATTCCAAGTCCTAGACCTGTGTCTTCAGTGACAAATAACATATTTTTTAAAACTGGACTATTTAATCGATTTAAGCAATCACATGTCTTATTATACTGATGGCCACAAATTTTTGTGCGATTTTCATTTGAACGAAAACTCCATTCGCATATATTAAAATGTTTACATTTTGAACAAAAATTTTTCAACCAAGAAATTTTTCTACTCATTGGCGAAAACACGACTTGTTCTGTTTGATTAACAAAATTTGTTGCGAGTGTTGTAATAGCCACCTTTGATGGATATGTTGGTAAAGTTTTTGTGATATTGGATATGAAACGCAAATCTGGTCGCGACCCAATCAATATAGCACAATATGACACTTCAAATGTTTTCATTTCGCCAGTTATTAAATGGCGTACGGTAACATTATGTTGATCATTATTTGATGATGAAGTAAATATATCACACAAGGTATGCTCTGGTAGTGGTGTATAATAATCATATTGCGTATGAGGATCTTTCATCATTCTTTGTACTTCATGATATTCTGGATAAACATTTTCTGGTAACATTTTATCTAAACCAGCTGAACGACTGCGGAATACGTGAATAACGGGAATATCAGACAAACGACATATTGTTACTGCATCAGCTGCACTTAGTCCAGCACCGACTACAACAACTGGTTTTAAACCTAAAAAAAATTTATAACATGTTTGAATTTTTTTTTCAAAAAAAAATTTAACAAAAAAAACTTACTTCTTCGTTCTTTTTCCTTTAATTTTTCTAAATCTGCTTCTAAATCAGGTAATTCGTGCTTAACCCATGATGACTTTAAAGTTTCTCCTCTTAAACCTAATCTATTTGCTAAATCTGAAACACCATTCGCCAAAACAACATTGTGACAAGCGTAATAAAATGATCGACCGGTTGCCTTGTTGATTCTGTAATAAAAATATTTTAATTTTCACATTTTCATAAATAACATAAAATTTAAGTTTTAAAATGGAAAAAATTATAATATTACCCAGCAACAATCCATCTAGCTCTATTAAATTTTCCTTTTTCTGGAAACTCTGATTTTTCTATGCAGGGCTGAGTTTCCTTGTCTTGTTGGTCTGTCAATGGAATACATATCTGCTGTTCGTCTTGTTGCAAACAAGATACTAATGGAGCGATTAGTGTTACTATAGTATCATTTACAAAGTATTTATTCAAATCCATTATACTAACATATTCTTCATAATATTGCGCAACTCTTGATACAAGAGCTCTGGTCTGAACTTCTTTTGACATTAAACGTTTTAGTGATAAATTTCGCCGAGGGGGCATTTGAATACCTTTATTCTGATTTATGTTAAAACTATCATTTGCATTTGCATTAATTGTAAAAGCTTTAGTACATTTACAACACAAGGCACCTATTTCCGATTCATTATTATTCTCTAAACCTAAACTATTTTTATCATCTTCATTCTTTCTGACAATGTTAGTTTTTATTATATATTTTGGATTAGGTTTTGATCTTAGTTCAAGACATTTTGCACATTCTGTATTATTTTCCATTTGTGTTTTTTGTTTTTGATTATCACTTTTTTGTAATGAATTTTTAATTATTGTTTTAAATAAATTATTTGAATTATTTGGATTTTCAATGTCTTCAATATGTTCTTGTTGTTGTTCTTGTTGCTGTTTTTGTTCTTCCCAATCATTATAATTTAAACCAGGTAAAGACATCCATGCCGCTAATGATAATGTACGTAAATTTGGATCCATACGATGCCATGTTCCACCTGGTGGACCTTTACCAAGAACAACATGATCAATCTATTGACATATAAAAAGAAAAATATGAAAATTAAATTATTAAGTGAAAATCAAAATGTTAAATTTTAAATCAACCCACCGTTCTATTAGAGTTCATTTTATATTCTAGCATTGATGGTAACTCCATTCCAAAATCAGCACATGGATGTTCTAAACTATCTAATAGTAATGATACTGGATTTGTACTTCGACCCTCTAAACCTTCAGCTAATGTAATTAAATCTTGTTCAACTAAACTTTTACTATTATCAGCATAATTTAATCTAGCTCTAAGTAATTCATCTGGATGTTTTTCTATCTTTTCTGGAATCCAATATGGCCAATTTCCGGCTAACATATAAGATAATGTAATACCACTGGGACCATTGCCTGTAAATAAAAGAGAAAAGTTTTGATTTAAATAAATGTATTAAAAAATAATTATTTACTTAATGGGGTATATGAATTTTTAAGATTTCAAGAAGTACAAAATTTCCAACTTATCTTGATTTTATATAAAATTAAATTTCTTTTAATTCACTGTAATTGCATAATTTTTGAAAAAATTCTCTTCAAATATTGTAAAGGACATTTAAATTTTATAAGTACTACATTATTTTTGACCTTAATTTTTCTATTATATGTATATAGTATATATGTATATATATGTATAAATAACAAGTATATACACATATTTTATCGATTTTATGCATAAAAAAAAATTTTAAATATTTTCTATTTATGAGATTTTATTGCACGCACTGTAAAATTGTGAATGGGTGTTTGAATATTTTTACATCCTTGAATCATCATTGTTTCTTTCGAAATTTTTTCTGATCCAAATTTCAAATTTGAAGATGAAAGGAGATTGTGAAAGAAACAGAATAGAAAATAAAGTGGCAGAAAGAATACAATTGGATAGGAGGCCAATAAAAATTTTCGCTTAATTTTATAAAAAAAAAGTTTAATATATTCTTAAATATATATGATACATATACTATGTATGTACATTATTTGTACTTATAGATTAAAATTTCACAAATTTGTATAACATTATTTTATTGTTTAATAACATGCAAATTTCAAATTCAATAGGTCATTTATTTCAACAGTTAAAACAATTCAAAAATATAAAAACCAGAAAATTTTTCCATAAACATTGGCATGTGTGTGTTTTGTATCGATAAATTATTTAATCTAACTGTTATATAAAATGATATATTGATAATAAAATTCTTATATCATACAATTTTTTTATATCTTATCTATATTTTAAATGAAAATTCAAAATTTGTCACTGTTTATTAAGTGTTTGGTATTTTGACAATCAAATAAAACAATATCTGATGGCTATGGTTGACTTTTTACATAGCAAGTTGACAAAAAATTCTTTCTGTCTCAAATGTTTACTAAACGAAAAATGAAATAGGAGGGGTAAAAAATGGTTTCTGTTTTTCTAGACCTAGAGCATATGCATATTGTAATTATTGTTAATTAAAACATTTTTATAAATAATTATTTTTTAAATGAAATTACAGGTTTTTAAGAAGCTCAAGTTTTACACAAAAGTATGTTTAACAAATTATATTTCATCCGGATATTGATGAAATTTCGCCTAATTGTATGCAATTGAAATGTATGCATATGTATGTATTTCAAATTACAATAATTACCAAATAATGTAATTAAATTATTAATTTATATATAATTATATATAAATTTAAAATTTATATTGAATTTAAATTGAATGCAATTTATTTTGCATGAATGTAATATTGATAATGTATTACTAAAATGATTACAATTAAAGGAAATTACAGAGTAATATTTAAAGTATAATTACGTGAATGAATAATTATATAGGTAACTCAGTAATATATGAATAGTTACTAAGTACTTATAAAAGAGATATTGTAAATATTTATAATAAGCAAATTAAAAATGCAATATTTGCTACTACAAAAGTTAATAAACTTATATCTATAAGTATATACATACATAATATAGAATACTCAGTACTAATAATAAGTATACTCATGTAATTAATGTGAGATATTGATACAATTACAATGAAAAGTTTATATAGCAATTAAAATAAGTATTCATATTACAGCTATAAGTATAATATCAATAAAAATATTTTATTATATATTAAGTATATTATGTGTGTGCAATAAAATGTAGTATGATTAAAATTAGCAAATAAAAAAGAAGCAAAAAAGAGAAAGAAAGAACAAATTGAAATATATGGGAGAAATTTTTTCTAGAGTATTTATTGCATGTCGTCATGTCAGATGGTGGTAAATTCAAGTACTAATATAATACGTCATTCCCAGTTAATTAATATAAACTATGTCGTATATAGTTTTAATTTATTACTTTTAGTATAATAAAATAATAATAAAAATAGAAAAATAAAATAAATAAATATTATCAGAATGAATTTATAATAAACCAATATTTAAGTATATATATATGAATAGGTATAATACACAATAATAAATTTATATATACATATATGTATGCACATGTACTTCATTAAACAAAAAGCTCTTAACTATAATTCATTTCATTATCTAAACATAAGTAATACTTATGTACTAAAATCTGCTGACTAATGTTATGATTTCTTTTTAAAGATATCTCATGTTCAACAATAAAATATTAAAAATATTCAGGTATAATATGAATAAATTTATTTTGTTTATTTTATAATGAATAATATGAATGAATGATTTTTTACGAATTTGATATTTAAATTTAAAGAAAATCGTATAGAAAAGCCGTCAATTTGTCTATATTGTTTGAATATACAAATTAATTGTTATATTTAATTTACTTTTAAAATATAATTTAAACAGCGAAATTTATTGGGAACTTCAATCGAAATATTGTTAGTTATGGTGTTTTTTAAAAACTATACAATATTGATGCCGGATTACCGATATAACTGGAAGATTTCCGAATATTGACAAACAGACGAATATTGAAAAGTCAAAAATGTAAAATTAATTACTCATCGAATGCTTTCTTAATCAGTTTTTTTTTCCGTTGTGTTCAATGAGAAACCACATTGAATCGATTTCACATTGGCAATTATTGTAATGAATCACAAAAAAAAAAAATATAAAAATAAAATTATCACCCATTATTTATTATACTATCTACGTTATTTATGAATAATTATTATTCGATACAATAACTCTTTAACTTATATGCAAAATACGAGTAAATAAATTATACTGACTTTCTTTACAACATTATTGTGTTCATAATCATATATAGTTCATTATATATACTCGGCGAATGATTACTTATATATTAATTATTAATTTTTATTTATATTGAAGACTTTAAAGGTCAATTTTGTTTAATTTTTTGCATAAATTTTTAGAATATATATTTTTTATTTACATTGGATCAATTATTTATTTGCATACTATAAATAAATATTATATATATATATGAATGTATACAAATATTTTACTATATTTTCATATTTAAAGTTCTTTTCTCATTCAATTTGTATAGTTATGCATTTATTCAATATATAACAAATAAATACAACAAATATGAAATTAGCATATATGCATATAAATTTTATAATAAATGACTAAGAAAGGACCTTGAAGTGTTCCAAGAACTATAGATATTGTAATATGTAATATGTACATATATATATATACTTATTTCATATACGTCAGTGCATTTTTTAAAATTTTATTCAATATATTTTAGATATATAAGTAATTTCTTTTTAAATGTATCATTAAAATAACAGTTATATAATTAATTACTGCTGTTATGATAGTGTTGTAAAATGTAGAACAATCTAATCTAAAAATGTATTATATATATATATATATATATATATATACTTAATATATATATATATATCAAATGACTTTATTGTATTAAATAAAAAATACATTGTACCAGTATAATTTTTTAACTTAATCTATACTTTTGTATAACACTAAAATAAAAATATAGAAATTTTTTTTTATCAAAAGAAATTTCTTTATACTGTTTATATAAATTAATAAATATAATAATTTTATACACATACTTATATACAATATTATGTAAATTTTTTAAATATGATTACCATTAAAAGTTCATTAGCTCACGTTTTTTTAAGCTTTTTATAATTTATTTGTGGTGTTTAAGCGTGCGATAAAAATTTTTATTGTAGGCAAGTCTATATGTATATATATACACATAAGAATATAATCAACGAAAATTATGTTTTGATATTATTAAAAATGAATATATAAATAATTTAATTAAAAAACAAAAAATACAAAATAAAAATAAAATTTTAATAATTAATTTTTTCTAGAAAAAATTAAAAAATTATAAATATACATAATATATGTAAGTATATGTACAAGTGAAACTAAATTAAAATTTATTGTAAAAAATGTAAACCATTATCTCAATTGATCTTAAAATTTAACAGAAAAAAAAAATGCCGAAAAAATTGTAATTAAAATGCTTGAATATTTTGTTTTTTTGGTTAAGAAAATACGATAATTAAAAAAACACTATAAGTATACACTTGTACATATAAGTAAGACAACCACTATTATTAGAACAGCAATTGGAAGAAACTCTAAAAAAAAAACTATTCTTATATGAATTCAGACTTTTTAAAGTGACATTCATTTTTTCTTAATTAATTTATTGATAATAAATTAATTAATTTATAAAATTTTAATCAGTTATAAAGAACAATAATTAAAAAAATTTTTTATATATAAGTTATTGAGTCAATAAAATTAAGCAAATTGTAAAGAATTTGTTTTGTAACTTTATTTATACTTTCGTAACTTGCACTCAATTATATTGCTGTGTTGTTTGAATTGTAAAAGTCTATATTAATTTTAATTGAAAAAATATGAAATATATTTTTTTATTATTTTTTTATATTTTAAATAGCATTTGCAATTTATGAAAAATATTCAAGAATGGTAAAAAGAAAATAAAAAATATATTAAAGAAATGTTGGAATCGTTTAAATATTTTAGCAAATTACTTATATAAATAATTGCTATTTTGAAAATAAAACAAAAAATTAAAATTATATTGAAGATAAAATATGCATATATTAAATTAAAATTATGTTAAATTATATAAAAGATATGGTTCGTTTATTTAAAAAGGAAAAAAATAAATTTATATTTTATAAGTACGAGACCATTTTAAAATTTTTTTGACTAAAAGACCATTATCCAATTTTTCTTTATATTAATCTCTATATGAATAACAAATAAATTGTTAATTTTATGTATTTTGCATTCCTACATTTAATTTACCTTTTATTGTGGCTCTTAATTTATTATTAGGTACTTGAATTTAAATTTATTATTCTTTAAATAATAAAAAAAAATATTTTCTATTTTTATAAATAGATATATATATTAAATTTAATTATGTATTTAAAAAATTTTATTAATATACTTTTCTAGGAATTAGGAATTTTTTTTAGGAATTTAAAGATAATTGAGTATAAGTAAGTATATAATTTTTATTAAATACCCTTGTTTTATTTATTTTTAAAAGTATATTTTATAAAATATAACAAAAATATTTTAGCAAACCGTAATATTCGCAATATTTTATAAATATTTTTTTTTCTAAAATCCCTGGGGGCTGGGCTCAAAAGCAGTTTTACCAAAAATAAAATAATAAATGTGCACCTAATGAAAATATGTAATTAAATTAGATAATTGAGTTTAAATTAATTAATGATAATTTAAATTTCAAAATAAGTAGTATATAATAAATTTTTTTGATCAAAAATAAATAATAACACTATTTCACAGAATAATAATCTTTTTATATTATTTTACTTATTATTTAATTGTTTTAGAAAAGTATTTTTTTTTTTATTACAACTTAATTTTAAAAGAAAAAGAAATTCCTCGTTTAAATAAAATTTTACGTGTGTTATACAAATAATTACTTAATTAAGTAAATATTTTAAATTTATTATTGAATATACTCATAATGTTAATTGTGTTTTATTTAAACATAATTATTTACTTCTTTAATATGATTCATTAAAATACCAGTTATTTTTTTTTTTTTGAAAGAATATAAATAAAATGTTTATTTTTCTTAATTTATTGTAAAAATTTCTTTAATGAATTTAAAATTTTATTTATAAATTATATAAGACAAGAAAATGCATTGTCATTCGTTCTATAAAACAATAATTGAACAATATATATATTTATAATACATTATGTACGTATGTGTATATTACATTATCTTGCTATATTTTATAAATTTTAAAAATTAATAAAATTTTTTTTTTTTTTATAATCAAATTATAAATTTATATTTTCATATGAGCACAATTTTTACCTTATATTTTAATGTTGCTAAGAGAATATTTTATTCTTTTTTTGCAAAATCTTTTTTACTTTTACAATTTTTTAGGTAGCTATGTGCTTTGTTTTGCAAAAAAAAATATTTATATATATTTTTTTGTGTTTTTTTAAATTTTATAAATTAATTTGCATACATTTAATATACATATATATAATAATGTACATGAATATGTAAATATAACAAAAGACCACCTATTATATAAATAAATACGTTTAAAGAGACCTAATAATAATTTTTTTTTTTGAAATCGATTTATTAAAAGCCGGAAACATATTTAAAAAAAAAAAGAAAAAAAAACTTAATCAAAATACCCTCGAAAAACAAGAAAAATTTCAAAGTAAAATAAAAAATAATTTCACAATAATTTCTACTTTAATTTTGAATATAAGCAAGGCATTAAAATTAAGAAGGTACTTCTTATACAGTATGTTCAAAATCTACCTACATAAGTCAGTATTTTATATTATGCATCATATAATAAATATGTAGGAGTTATTTATACAAGTGAGTATTTTAGTGAATTTCCATGAATTTCATATGATTGCTTTATTCATTTGCAATATAAAAATCGAGTATTCAAGCACATATGCAAATTCCCAGATACTTGTATACATAGTAAAATATATTAATGTTATATGTGCATAAGTAGTATATGTTTGTGGCATTAAGCCAAAATTAATGAAACATAAAAAGTTGTATTTCTAGTAAATCGATTTTAAAATTTTCTTTTCGTTTTTTTTTTTTTTATTTTTTGTACCTTATTCTGAAAGAATTTTTTTTTTCATTTATTCTGGGTCACAATAAAGGCATATATTGTGTATATGTATGTAGGTACATTATGTATTATGTATATTTTTGAAGTGAATTTTCAATAATGTTATAAAAATGTGTCAATTTTAGAGATTTTCCAAAAAGAAATTAATGTAAAAGTTTTAGATTTTATATATTATGTACCTATGTACTTAGTTTTAAAACTGAATTGCCTATTTCACTTTCTAACTAATTCTAGTTATTTTGATTCTAGTATTGGTAAGAGTGCTCTGAGGTTTGTACTTTCTAGGAAGTTAAATTATATTTAACAATGGGTTATATAACAGTGATATTGTGGCTCAACAATTTTTTTTTTTTTTTGGTTTTTCCGTAAAACTTATTCCAAAAATTTTTTTAAGTCTTCCATACTAATAAACTCTAATCTTACTAACTTTCTGCTATCCTCATCAAATTATAATGATTTTGTTTGGCAATCTGATAGCCTAGAATTTTGTGTGCCTAAATGATGATTGCTTTTGTTCTTTCATGCAATATTAATTTAAATGACAATTGATGCTTGGCCTAAACAATTCATCTCATATATATGAAATGAATTGTATATATACATATTATATAGTTGGATATGTACACAGATAATACAAAGTTTATTGATAACTTACCAATAATGACAACCTCCTTATATTCAGTTCCTTTTGGTATACTTTTTACTGTTATGTCTTTCATTATGAAATTTATACTCTTTTATTTATTTTGATCTTAAAATATTTTTAATAAATAACTATTTTATAGCTATGTATGTAAATATGTATATAATATTATAACTGCTTTTATTTTAAATGTTTCTCAAGATTAATTATTATAATAAATAATTATTTAGTAATTATTAAATAATATAAGATTCCTTTTCAGTGTGAAAAATATTTTTATTTTTTTCTAAATTTTTCCGATTTTCTTAAATTGAAGAACTGAAATTGTCTTTTGTTTTATAAAAAAAATTATTTACTTAAAAATTTTCACCACTTTAACTTGTTTTTTTATAATCCTTGAATTTATTTGAGTAAAAATAATTCCTTTTTCATTGAAATCAACTCTAAAGTTACTTTTAAAATTATTTTTTATTTTTGCTCAAAATTGTATTGCACACCTTTTTTCCTAATTTTATCCAATTCAAGCGAATTTATTTATATAAATATGTATATGTATATATGTATATTTTTTTTGTTGTCTTCTATTCCTTTTAGTATCCGTATCCGATAAAACCCGTTTAAATTGCATTTACGAGGAAATTCCGCGCTTTTCTTTATTTTTATTTTTTCTTCTTTTTTCAATTTGATTTTGTTGTTTTACACTGTGAATCACAATTTTTTTATTTTGTATAGCTATTCCCAGAATGGTAAAGAATTGGTCATATAAAAAATTAAATTTTAATTTTACTTTCTTCTTTTCTTTTCAGTGATTTTTTTTTTCCATTTAACACCTAAAATATTTATTTTTTTAAGTTAAAACATTTGTTTTATTGAAAATAAAAGAAAAAATCTATAGTCAAATTTTCTTTTTCTTTTATGTTTTTTTTTTTTTTTTTAGTTCACATTTGAATATCTCTTTAACTCACAAAATTTCGAAATGGAATGAACTACAACCTTGAATAACAGCCGGCTTTTATATGAAAAATATTGAAAAATTTTTATATACTCTTTTTTTTTATTGTTGCGTTATTTTTCTCTAAGTTTTCGCTCGCTCTCTCCTTGTCCTTTTTTTTTTCATTGATATAATATGGCTGTATAATGAATTAACTCTATTAGGTTAGGTTATGTTTTCATGATAATAGTGTTACCTAAAATAAAAAAAAATTTTAAATAAATATTATAGTTACAATTATGACGATAGAAAAAAAATAGGAGTAAAAAAATAGTAAATCATTATGTAAATATTAGTTAAAAAAATTTTTTTTTTTTGTATTTTAATAAAATGTGCATTAAATAAATATGTACTCGTACAATGCATATATTATATAAGTCATTATAAAAAATAATTTCATAATATGACTTTAATTGTTCATCGCATTCAATTAAGTGTATAACACTTTATTGAGATAGTTTTGAGTATATTTTATAAAGTTAGGTTTAAGTATAGGATAAAGTCACGTGGCAAATCATGTAAAATACTTATAGCTTTTAATAGTTTTAATAAATCGAGTATTGTAAATTAATTTAAAGTTATTTTGAATTCTGTGCTTAATATTTTGTTTTTCAAGTTGTTTTATAAACTAGTATTATTCATTAAATTTGTACATTTTATAATTATACTGACAAATAAACAAAAAGACGACTGAATTAAATAGGAAAATTATCGATTTTTCATTCTACAATGTATACAATAATATAAATATGTAGTATATAAATATGTAGAATAATATAACATATTTAAAAACATGTTATAACATTTAAGAATTCACGTTTAGCTTATTTTGGTAGAATTTGTTTTTTTTTTTTTAGATAAACTGGCAATATTAATATTTTTAACTGAATTACAAATAAAACGACACGAATCACGAAAAATGAAAATGAATAGTTTTTGAGTAAAAATGTTGTATTCATTATATGGTGTACATAAGTACATACATATTTATCTAAGTTTACCTATGTATGTTAATATGTTTATACATATATATGTACATATTTTCATAAATATGTATAATATAATATAACATACAAGTATACTTAATTATTCTTTAGTGAAATAGAAAATCGAATTGGAATAAAATTTAAAAAAATTGTGAGAATTTTTCTCATTTCTTTTATACATAAACATACCTACTATACAAACATGCAAATGTAGGTATATATGTACGACATATAATTTTTTTTCAATTATAAATTCTATTTTATTGTAGAGTGCGGTATTTTGTATTTTTTTTTCATTATTTTCTTTTGCTCCTTTTATTTTTAGAAATGGTCTTCATACTCAAATCTTTTACGTTAGAATAAAATTTTACAACTATATAAAATGCATCAGATAGCTAACTCACTAAGTCACTATCAATTAAACAATAAAAATACTATGTATATGAAATATATTATACATTATACACTATAAATATTCAATATATTAATATGATGTTATACTATTAACGTACCTATACATACCATGTCTATCGGCATGTAACTTTGTTTATAAAATTTACGTATAACAAGGCAAAGGAAATGAAAATTGTTTGGATGTAAGGAGTAGAATTTTATAGTAGAGATTTAAAGAGACATGAAATCAACACTGCTTGGAAAAGTATTAAATTATTAATCTACATACACACATTTATACGTAAATATTCCGCAAATTCTATCAATATATAAAATAGCAACAGGTTCAAAAACACATATTTATTTAGGTATTTTGATGTACATATGAATACATTTACTTATACGAATGTGCATTTGATTTTTGATTACTATTATTAATTTTTATATGTAGAACAATATAGCTACGAATAAAATTATACGATTATGTTGTTCTCTTTATGAATTTGAACGTAAAATAAAGAATTTTTATTTGAAATATTTATAAAAATAAATTTTTCTCTATAAATGGCAAAGTAGTAAAATAAATATAAAATTTGATTTTGTTCACATAAAAATTATTTTCAAAACACCATGTGTATAACACTTTATATATACATACATCCAGTAACATTTTTGTTTCAATTAATATCAACTTAATATGTCCATGTTGTATACAAAAATTTTATAATGACGACATAGAACCACCTTTAAAGAAGTAAAGGCTAATCATTGGACTTATTTAGTGCTGGGGATATAAGAAAGTTTTTCAGTTTCTTTAAATTTTTTATGAATGTTAATAATAAATGAAACGTGTACATAAGAAATTAATTACACATACAAATTAATTATACATAATTTAAAATAACAAAATTAAAAGTTGAAATATTGATTTTAAAAATTTTAAGGAAAGTTATGCCCACACGTAAGAAAGTTGTATTTTTTATAAATTTAATTTTCGGTGCTAAAAATTTTTTGTTATATCAATTTTTATAACTTCATATGTAATTATAACAATATTTATACATATTATGGGAAATCATGTATTTATATGCGTATAATATATTTTTCCAAAAGTTTATTTTTAAGGTATACCACAAAGAATTTTATTCTATTGCTTGTTTAATAAAAATAAAAATTTCTATGAAAATTATTTCAATATTAATTAAGTTATTTTTATGTATTTTAGATATTATAAAAAATTTGAAGAGAACAGGACACATAATGGACTGTCATAAACCACTGATTTTTTGGGAAGCTTATGTTCTCTCAAAAAATAAAGATAAGTTTTGAAATTTCAAATAAAATTTTACAGTATACAGTAATGGTCCATCTCCTACCACTGTTTTACTTTGTCATCAGTTTTACTTTGTCTCTTAATAAACAAATTTTATAGATAGAATACCCCAAAAGAATTTTTTAAATATCATTACAGAAATATCCAATTTTTGGAACAATTCAAAATCAATTCATAGTATCCATGAATTTCATGTTTTGAAATTAAATTGCTGATCGACAGACATAGTGAAGTTTTGCTAAAATACCTTTTTAAAAATTTTTTTTAGTATGAAAAAGAGCATTTTTTTTGAAAATTTAATATGTAGAATTTGATGTGAATTTTTCCTGTTTTATGCAATGCGTTAAAAGTTTTAGAATTCTAATAAAATATTTTATAAAATAATATGGTTTTCAATGTAATAAATTTTATGGGAGTGCTTTCAAATTAAGTTATACACTCACTAATCCAATTGAAAATTGATTTTTTTTAACAAATATGTAAGTTAAAATCAATTAATTGTAACTAAAAAATCCACCAACATTTTGAACATACATCCATAAGCAAATATACAAAATTTTATAACAATATATTCCAATTTAGTTTTTCTTTTTTTACGAAATTATTATTTTATATAATGAGACATTTTTTAATTCCCATAATAGACTAAAGGGATTTAACAATAGAATTAAACAATTATAATAAAATATTTATAACAAAATATTTTTTTTTACATATGTACGTTAATTACAATTTACTGCACAATATCATTATATAATTATTTACAATAAAATATAACTTCGTATATTTTTAATATTGTATTACATACTAAAAGTATACATATACATTTCATTCAAAATAAATTTTAGATAATTAATCGCAATATATTACAAAAACTAGAAACAATGAATGTACATAATGTATAAGTACACGCACGTGTAAAATATGATAATATTATTGACATGTTATTGATATGAAAATTTATATACATATGTATGTAAATATTGTAAACACATATGTATATGATTTTTTACGATATAATTTGATTAAAAGTTAATTTTCAAATTAATTTAAAAATAAAAATTACATTTACAGTATTAATATATATAGAAAATTTTTATGTATATACATAGATACATACTGTGTGAGAAGCAAAAATTTAACATTAATCTTTGATACTACAAAAAATAAAAATTGATAAGCAAACATTATTCTCATTGTTTCTAATGTTGGAGAATATTTTAATTTTCATTAATCGGTTGGCAACTTATCATTTTTTTTTTTATATACACATACATATACTCATACATAATATATATGTATATGTTTATCAAGCATATATTTATTTTTTTATAAATATTCTCATATTTTAACACACATATTATATGTACATAATGTTGTGTATAAAAGCATTAAACCGATTACATAAGCCGATTTTACTATATTGAGTGATTTTTGTTTTATTTTCTTTTTTTTTTTTTAATATTTGTTTTGATAATAATTGTTAATTATATTGCAAATATGTATAAACATGCTTATAAACATAACATCAAAGTAAAATTTGTATACCTGACACTATACACTTTACCTAATACGGCTTAAATCAATTAATTTATATTGCATAAAATATACAATTTCAGAAAAAAAAAAAAAACAATAATATTTTTGTGGAAAAAAAAAATGTGCATACATAATGACTATAATTAAATTTGATACTAAAAATTGATAATCGACAATTTAAATTATATCACAAAGAATTGATTACATAAAAAATTTTACATTACATTACATAAAAAAATTTTGAAATTCAAATTAAAATTTTTCAACACTCTGTTTATACTTGCTTTATTATTATTATTATTGTTATTAAAATACATAACGTAATTATTTAAAGTAAGAAAATCAATACAGTTATATTCGTATTTTAATACAATAAAATTGGAAGTTTGGAATTTGACAAAGTTTTTAAGTTTCATTTAACTGATTATGAATGTAGTTTAGTTAACAATTATGATTTTACTACAATTAAATAATTAAAGGGCATTTACTATTTGAAAATAATTATGTGACCGTGAATTAAAGAAAAATTATTTTAAGATAGGTACCCAGTTATATATATAAACTAATTACGTATGTACACTAAAACTAAATAATTTTTTATGTATATTTGTAAAATATTAAATAAAAATATTATGAAATTTGTTATTTAAATTTTATATGACTGTTTTTAATTTATTGTATAATACTTTTTTTAAATTTATATTACTTAAAATTAAAATTTAAATAAACAATTTTAATTTATTTTTTCATACAGAATTCCAAAATAATTTTCTAAACATTACATAATATCAATTATTTCATATTACATCTACATTTGTTCATACATGTATATGCATTCATATACATTATTTTGTAATATTATAAATGCTACTTTAATTAAATAATTTAAGAAATTAAAATAGAAGAAATTTAATTTATTTTTTTTTGGTAATAAATTACAAATTTTATATGCAGTATCACGTA